ACTAACACCCGACGATCAAGTGTTTCTACGGGAGTGCAATTTAAACCCGTGAACAACAAATAGTGGTGTATGGTTTATCCTTTTCTTTTCAATTATATTTCTTAGACCAATTCTTTGTGCTCTAGGTAATTTAAATTGCCTAGAGTGCTTATTCTTTGTAACTGATGTCCTTCCTTATGTAAAGGTGCCAGCAGGTTGGTGGTAGGCTTAGATCATACAAACAGTTAGTAGCCAAGGCATATTTCATTTTGTGCTTATAAATGCTAATATGATAGTAGATAATTTTTGACTGTATGAATTGAATGCTATGTTAGATGCCCTCACAAATAGTGTAGTTTTGCAACGCTTTTCCACTACTTCAGTTTACTGCATCCTGTGTTATCTGATCTCTGTTTATGCACGACAGCATGGGATCCTTGTTGTACGGCCGACATATGATTTTGTGTTGATGCGTTCAATTTTTCAAAATTTTCATGCGAAAAAATCTCTAATGTCCTGGAGCGTCACACCTTATATCAATGACCCAAGAGAAGCAGGGAAGGGGAAAATTAACAGCAGTATCAAACCAGCTCCTTTCATGAATTTGTTTCTTCATTTATACGTTTATCAGTGAATGCATACATCAATGACGCATTTGTTATTTTACAGTAACTGAAAAAATAGCCAACGCAAACAACACCTCACGCACACGCAGCTCTGACTTCTCCCAAACCGCTCATTGAACACATTCGTAACTAATCTTTCCTTTGCAAACTACAAATCCTCGAATACCACAAGCCCTTCTTCCAAGATCGCACAGCACGTCGCATAGATGGCACTCGGCAGTTGCTCGTGAGTTGAGCTGCCGCCGGCCAGGTCACGAGCCAAACGGCCGAAGTGTGTCGGGGTCGAGGGGAGGGGAGGGGATTCCACTCCATCCATCCCACACACGGGCCACGGTCCAAGGCTCCAAACGCGGCCTTGGAACGGCTGACCACGCCCCACAAACCCGGGCTCAGCAAACAAATTCGTTTGCTCGCGAACCAGTCAGCCACAACCAGAGCCAGGGCACTTGCAGAGTGTTCGCCTGGGATGAATCTGTTCATGCTGAAAATACCGTTCATGCTGAAATTTTATGAGAGAAAAACACTATTCCAACTAAAAAAAAGGCAACTAGCCAGCTGTTCTTTCCCAGCCGAACACACTCTTGGCTATCTGTAACGCTGTCCGCCTGCCACTGCCGCATCCGCATCCATCTGATCTGATCCGCACCGTACGCTTGTGCTTGTGGCCACCAAGATGGGGGTCATGGCCATCATCATTCATCACCACGAATCTATTGTGGCCCGGTGGATGTCGATTTGCGCTGCTCCTGCTCGTGCGCAACCTTTTGATCATAGACGCTGTAGACTGCGGTGCGGGAAGAGGCCCTTTGTTCCTAAGTGAGACAGTGATATTTCTTACCACAAGTGGAAGTGGGTGGTTTTGTCATCCACCGAGGGAGGCACGCCAGCATAGGCATTGCATCTTGCCATGCCATCCTCCTTGACCTTGCGGATAGATGCAGCAGCACACAGCACAGCCATTCGTCCTGCTACAGCACAACCATCCTCCTTGACCTTGCGCGGATAGATGTGGCATGAGCACAGTGACATTCCCAATCCACTTACATGTCGGCCTTCGACGGGCCGACTGGTCCCCTGCACGCTAAGATCTACGGCGCCGAACTCGGTGCTAAGATCCACAACGCCGAGCTCATGCCACGTCCGCGCCACGCAAACAGCCACGTCAACGACACGCAAAAAATGACCCTGGACCTCGGCGCCAATTGCTTTGGCGCCGAGACGTGTAAGCTTGGTGTCAATTGTCACGGCGCCGAGATCAGGGTCTATTATTTTTTGAAAGGATACTGTCAGAGGTGTATTTGTGAAAATCTTTAATAAAAAAGCTGGAAAACAAAAAATTCGGCCGCTCGTACGTCGACCGTGCTCGTTCGTGCCGCTCGGTACTTGTTGGTTGCTGTTACGTACGTGCAGGCAGGCAAGCAGGCGGTATACGTACGTGCTCATACGTATGCCTGGACGCTCGCCGCCTTGGCAGGCAGGCAAGCAGGCCGCCGCGCGCCGCCCCTGGGCGGGCTGGCTGGCCGGGCGCCGCCGCCTTGAAAATAGTGGGCATGGCGTCGGGCTCGGCCAGGCCACAGCCGGAAGCGACCTGGCCGTCCATGTCCGGCACGGCCAGCCCTCCAGCCGGCGCGCCCAGGCCTCCATCCGGCGCGGCCAGGCTCTCGGCGATCGGCGTGGCCATGCCCTCGGCGACCGGCGTAGCCAGGACTTGGGCGGCTGCGGTCGGGCCGTCGGTGGCCACGGCCAGGTCGGGTGGCTGGCCGTCAGGTCCAGCGGCTCCATGAAGGCCGGTGCGTCTAGGGCAAGAGTCGCGACTGGCGGCGGCACGAACCGTCGGGCGGAAACAAAACGTCGGTCTCGGTGTTTTCGTATCCATGCACGCAGGGAAAGGCAGAAGGGCAAAATAGTCCATTGAGGCGCCAAATACAGGTATACATAATAGAAAAGATATAAAATACACATAATGTTATGAAAATCAAGAGTCCAATGTTTTGAGGGTCATTTTTATGAAGTCGACGATCGGAGTCATAAGACTGCGATGCGCTACGATGGAAGTCCCAGATATACAATTTTCTCAGAACGAGAATACTCGTAATGGTTCCACATTCAAAAAGAAAAAAAAGAAAGAAAGATTACAATCGAGGTTCACAAAGTTACTTTGAAGAATAATGTTTTAAATTTCATGTTATAGGATTTAGTGGAGAGTTACACTTAACCACTATAGTGTCTTTATACTCTCACCGCCGTAGTCCGCCATTGTCTGGCAGAGATGAGGACAGTGTCAATGGAGGTTTTATGACCCAGTTTCTTACGCATTAATATTTTGAAACAGTATTGCTATATGTCAACGGGGTGATTTAGGCTCTTCTGTCAACCGATTTCTAGGCCGGCGTAAGTGCTGTGTTGAGTGCTCACACTGCTGACGTACGTGTACATACGTGCCTGTTGCCGTCTTCCGAATCCATCTGCCGTGCTGCTTAGGAGTACGTACGATCGAGACTCGAGAATTAACACAAGGCCAAGCAACGCCTGACGTGTCGTACTTCCTGTACCATGCACAATACAACCCCGTAGCTGCGAGTTTTTTTTTAATTTGTGAATAATTTATGAACAATTTAATAATATTTGTGAATAATTTGACATATATTTCTCTGATACACACACACACATATATATATATATATATATATATATATATATATATATATATATATGGAATCTATAGAAATAATTTGTAATTTTTTTTAAAATTTTTAGCATATATTTGTATTATCCTCAAATTACATCTCTACGTACAATAAATTACACCGAAGAAGTCCATGTAAATATAGTAATAAGTCAGTGTAAATATAACTTGAAGATAGTATAAGTGTATGAGAAAAATTCTGTTGACAGGAGGAGCCAAAATAACTGAATGTCACCTAGACAGATCCTTTTGAAAACAATACAGAATAGTTTCATCCCCATAAAATTATCTATACTACTTCCAGCTTGTTCTCTCTCACAGAATACTATTCAATCATCCAAAAAAATCCAAAATCTACTGTTCTACCTACCAGCCGAACGAGCTGTATATTCTTACGAAATTCTCATCATCTCTCTCTTCATCAATACAGTGTCATGTCAGCATATTTAATGTCTATGAAACTCTAATAAAATTCGATTGAGATTGGCCTGATAGTAGCATGGGAAGAAACATACGTGCGCAAGAAAAAAGAACAATGTTTTAAAAAAACAAGGCTTCAAAATCAAGGTACACAAATGCCAGTCTCTCTTTAAATTCAGACAATCTCGGGGCTCGAATGTATCAGCCGAGAAATTAAGCGGGGACACGTCACCAAATCACGGCGAGAAAATGACTTGCCACTGCGCGAAACACCATAAACAATGGACCTAAACACGCCGACCAAATGGTAACCAGCCGTCCAGTTTTTTTTTTTTTTTTTTTTTTTGGAAACACAACCAGCCGTCTAGCTGCCGCCCAACCCGGATCCCGGATCCTGGTGGCCCCGCGGCGAAAAAAATCGAAGCCCAAAGGGTCGCTACAATCGGGGCCCAACCCAACCCAACCCAACCCAGCAATATCTCCTACCAACGCCCGTCTCGAACTTTCCAGCGTTCACATTAGCTTTCCCCTTTTCTCTCTACCTTCACCAGCCTGCCCTCTCGCAAGTCGCACCCTCACCGAAAGGCGAAGGCTTCAAGCGCACACAGCCACGCAAACCCCCTCTTCATCAACCTCGAATCGAGCCCGCGCGCGTCCCCAAATCGAGGTATGTGGATCCATTTACTCATGCTGTAGCTTTAACTCCCGATCTGATGCTTGCTGGGGTCTTGGGGGTCGATTTCGCCCAAATTTTGGGGGTAATAAGTAGAGGCCTCGAGGGAATCTGTGGGCAGTATGTTCGCAGTAGCTTCTAATTTGTTCGATTGCTGCGCCTATGTCAATGGATTCTGCGGTTCTGATGCTGTCTATCGTCATGTGGTGTAAGCGGCGTTTCTGATATTCCCCAATTTTTTTTGCTAGTCTAGTGCGTTTAGGGTATGAGCGCGGACGCGGTGCATCAGAAACACTGTAGCAAACTTCCAGGAGTACCGCGCTTGATGATGTAGTGCGGTCCAGTGTGCTGGGAGTATCACTATGGTATTGTAGCTTTTGGGTGAAGGCTTGTCCCTGAATTGAATCGAGAAATATTCTTCCAGAAAAGATACGAAGCGTGTGCAGTTTTCTCTCTGCGGAGCGGAGTGCTATTAGCCTATTACCATCACGTGTAGTGTCTATTATCAATACCATGTATAGCAATCGTGTTATTTTCTACTGTAAGGATTTCCTTATGTCTGGTTGTGTTTGTGACGTGAATTCCTAATCTGGGCCTTGCTTTGATTATAGAGGAGATGAGTCACGCGCACGATGGCCACAGGTCCTTCTTTCCCGTGGGGAATCCATTCAGGATGATTTTCCCAAGAGGAGCCCACCTGTCGCCGAAGCTCACCGAGCTCCTCGCTTCGTACGAGGATGGCCTGGCCTCGAGCTTGAGGAAGCTCAAGCCAGAGGACACCTCAGAGGTGCTCACACTATCATGGATGAAGCTCGCAGTGGACTGCTTATCGGAGCTGCACACCAATATAGCCACCCTGATTACTGAGCTTGAGCTGCCCTTATCTGATTGGGACGAGAAGTGGGTGGACATTTACCTGAACAGCAGTGTGAAGCTGCTGGACATCTGCATTGCGCTGAGCTCAGAGCTCTCTCGGTTGGATCAAGGGCAGCTGCTTGTGCGATATCTCCTGAATGTCTTGGACTCTGGGAGCGACATGCCATCCCAGGAGCAGCTCAAGAAAGCTGAGGTGTCGCTTAAGGAATGGATCGAGCGAGCAAGTGAAAGGTCTCTGAGGCTTGATAGCTGCTTGGCAGCGCTACAGGAGCTTTCTGGGAACCTTTGCCTGATGAAGGTTAAGCATTCTGCTAAGGGGAAAGTGCTCATGCGGGCATTGTATGGAATCGAGGCCGTTACAGTCTTAATCTGCAGCGTCCTTGTAGCCGTTCTGTCAGGTAGATTCAAGCCACTGGTGGAGTTTGATGTCCCTGAGAAATTTGGTTGGTCTACGGCCTTCATTGATCTTCATAAGGCCATAAGTGGGGAACTTAGCAGTCAACTATCCAGAGGTAGTGTTACAGCTGTAAAAGAGCTGGAGGATGTTGAGGTATGTGCTAGACAGCTGCATACATTGACTTGTGCTGCTCAGCTTGAAGAGGAGAATTCCAGCCTGGCTCATGCTGTTAGTCATTCAAAGGAAGTGGTCCTGCCAGCCCAGGAAGGAGGCCATGTGGATAATCTTAAGATGGCTGAGGACACTAGCTGTCAGCATGAAGTGATCACACTGCAAAGTATTACTACAGAAGGAGGAATGGATACAGCTGACATCAAGGAGGATGCCAAGACTATGGGCCATACAAAAGAAGTGATGGTGCCTGAGAAAACAAGTGACAGAGGAAACCGAGATGATAACACAAAGCAGGCCACTGGTGTTGGCACTGAGATCAATTGCTTGGAAAGGAGAGAGGAGCTGCTGAACTGCATCTCCAGCATGTCGAAATGCGCTGAAAGGCTTCGGTTGGGGTTGGACTCGCTGTCGAAGCGGGTGGGTGACTTCTTCCAGATCGTGCTTACAGGGCGTGATGCACTACTTTGCAATCTCAGGATTTCAGACGGGGGGAAGGTTGCTGCAGAGGTCAGGTCTTAATATGCTATCTCATGTTTGTGCCATGTAATCTCAGCAGCCCATCCTTATGCGTGGTGCTTCTGAGTTCTGGCCCCTGCTGAGCCCCACCAACACTAAGCCGGGCCCAGGTCTCAGAAGCATTGTGCATAATCATGTGCCCCTAGCTGTGCTGTGCAAAAGCTTATATAGCTTCCCTTTTTGGTAAGTAGGAACTAGAGTGTTGTTGAGTAAATAGTGTTGTTAAGATGGTGTCGGTGGAAGTGGAATGTACAACATCTAGAGTAGAGCAACTGTATGTATGCTCGTGTGCTGGTAATCGAGATGAAAATGAGTTGCAAAATGCCGATCCTTGTCTGTTTGTTGGATAACCTAAACTGCTATGTACAACTTTCTATGTACTTGTACATCATGTTGCCGTCTTGTTCGACCTAGAGTGTTTTCAGTAAGTAGGAACTAGCCTTTTTTGTTAAGTAGGAACTAGAGTGTTGTTGAGTTGGTGGTGTTGGAATGTACAACATCTGGAGTAGAGCAACTGTATGTATGCTCGTGTGTGTGCTGGTAATGGAGATGAAAATGAGTTGCAAATTGTTGATCCTTGTCTGTCTGTTGGATAACCTAAACTGGTATGTACAACTTTCTATGTACTTGCACATCATGCTGCCATCTTGTTTGACCTACTCCTACTTCCACGAATATGATGTGCTGGCTTTGTTCCTGTGGGAGGAGTTTGATTGCCCAGTTTCTCTCGCTCATGCTCTTCCTCTGTATGATATTCAACCAAACCCCGGACTGAACCGAGCTGTGCACCCTGTAAATTTTGGTGTGATCTGAACCTTGGACTGAGCCGTGCTGCACGCGCCCTGTAAATTTTGGCGAGATCTGTAGCTGTGTGCGTTGTTTTGTGCAAATTTTGGTGACTAGTGACTTAAATGTTGAGTCATTAGTGTGTTGTGGAGTTTGGTATTGTTGGTGGAATGTACAAGGGCGAGTACAGTAAACTGTGTGTTTTATGCTCATATCTCAGGACTCCCGGGCTCCCTGGCTCCCTGCCTTATACTGATATGCTCAGCTTGCTTTGTACTTGTAGATCATCTTACCGTCTTAGTTCCACCAAAATGATGTGTTGGATTTTTTCGTATGGGCTAGGAATTCGTGTTCCTGAACCAGGATAGTTTGCCCCGTTCTTGCAAATCTGCATTCAGAGTTTCAGACATGGAACCGAAAGTCTTCCACAATTGCTAGTGCCGTCCACGTGAAGACAACTTCTCCATAATCTTGCCCTGGGCTAGTCTTCAAAGACTACTATTGGCTGGGCAAAAAAAATAATGTGATAGGAGAATCATTTTCAGTACACTATTTTTAATCTGAATCTGAAGTATCGAGGGAGTGATCGTCGCTATCTTTCCTTTTCATTGTAGCCACTGTTTGCTTTTTGAAACAAGGAGGAATGCATACGACTTTTGCAGGAATCGAACTGCCTTTAGTAGACCCTTGCACTTGAAGTTGCTGCGAAATGTGATTAGCATGCTCTATACCTGTTGACTGGTGAAAGTTTAGAGATCTCAGCTCTGTCAAAGTTCCCTTCATCTCCGCCCAAAATACTAGTAGTAAATTATTCCTGTGAGAGATTCTCCGGTGGGTACACGTACACGACGATCTGATCCATGTTCTTGTATGCATCGGACTGTTTTCTTTTTTTCTTTTTTTGAAATGAGGACTGCTCATTGTTCACACCATTTAAGGCCTCGTTCGGCTTATCCTATATCTGGCTATATCTGGCTTGTTCAGCTTCTTTTTTCAGTCGGAATAGTATTTTTCTCTCATAACAATTCAGCTAGAACAGTATTTTCAGCCACTTTTAGTCAAAATTCAGCGAGCCCAACCGGAGACAGGCAACACCATCTCACGGTCCTCGTTTCAAAAAAAGTAAACAACGCTATCTTGTTTTGGTGCAGACTTCCGACCAATTTCCATCAGCCATGACGTCGATAGGCACTGTGAGAGTGAGGTTTCCCTTCCTCTCCAGCTCGGTACAGACCACAGATTAGACCGACCACCGACGAGGCAAAGCAGAGCAAGAAGACTTGGCCATGGCCACACAGCTCCTAGTCCTCGCCGCCCTCCTCCTGCCCCTCGTCGCCGTCCTGCTTGGAAAGCAGCACGGGCAACCGTCTCCAACCAGAAATCTACATGGACACCAAACCCAAAATAGATAGCAAGAGACCTAAAATTAGTCTCCAACAGAGTACCTATACGGAAGATTTATTTTGGGTTGCCTGAGAGGCACAACCCAAGTATAGGCATCATCTCTCCTAAAAATTCATTTGCAGAAATGATTCTCTTTTGGGTCTTGTCGTTAGAGAAGATGCCGAATAGGTATTGAACCTCTTGCCTGTAGCGCTACCCAAATGACGAATGTGTCTTGTATCTTGGATGTTGTTGTTGGAGATAGCCGAAGCGCTCGGCTCCCTCCGGGCCCACTAGGTCTGCCGTTCCTCGGCAACCTGCTGTTGCTGAGGCAATACTCGTCCGACGTGGAGGCGCTGCTCCAGCGCCTCGTCGCGCGCTACGGCCCCGTTGTATCTCTGCGGGCAGGGTCGAGCCTGACGATCTTTGTCACTGACCGCCGCATCGCGCACGCGGCGCTAGTCGAGAGCGGGGCCACGCTCGCCGACCGCCCTGCGGTCACGCACGCGCTCCTAGGGGAGGCAGGCAACACCATCTCGCGGTCCAGCTACGGGCCCGTGTGGCGCCTCCTGCGCTGCAACCTCGTCGCCGAGACGCTGCACCTGTCGCGGGTGAAGCTGTTCGCGCCGGCGCGCGCGTGGGTGCGCCGCGTGCTCGCGGAGAAGCTTGGGTGGGAGGCCGAGGAGGCTCAGGCGAAAGAACATGAGCCGCCCCTCGTGATGGAGCCGTTCCGGGACGCCATGTTCTGCCTCCTGGTGCTCATGTGCTTCGGCGAGCGGCTAGACAAGCCCGCAGTGCGCGCCATCGCGTCCGCACAGTACGGCTGGCTCATGTTCGTGGCTAAGAACACGAGCGCGTTCGCGTTCTGGCCGGCACGGATTAGGATCCTCTGTTAGTTGATCACCAATTGGCCCAACGGTCAATTGAGCCCTTGGATCCGCGCCTTGATCGGGGGCGTCCAACTCTAATATGGTTGGTGGCCTCCCATCGCACAGCGCCATAAATAGGAGGTGGGGGCCAGGGGCGCCAAGCACGAGGTTCGCCTGAGCCGCCTAGCACCCCACCTACAGTCCTAAACCCTAACCGATCACAAAGGGAGCGCTGCCAGCGACGGGAAGCGCCATCACCGCCTTTGCATGTACACCGAAGGGCTGCTACGACGCCGGGCTGCCCTGCGACCTCCACACCGACCGTTGGACTCCGCCGCTACTGCATCGCCGCCCTTCAACTCAGCACCGCCACCGGGTTATCGCCATGCACTGCGATGGCGAGCCCATCTTCATCCAAGGCGGCCGATGATTTACACCCCTTCACCCCTCTCTATCATTCTATCTCTAATCCAATACTAGTAGATGCTTCTAGGACTCACGGTTTGTTCAAAGTGCAAGTAGACATGCTAGATTTATGCCTAGAGATCCTGCTTTAACTCTATCAATGGTATCAGACGTCTAACTAGGCGTAGATCTAACCTATCGGATAAGAAAACTGAGTAGAAGCATTTAGAAGAGGGTGATAGATTCATTTTCGGATCTAAACAGAGGGTCACCGAACCCTAACCCTAATCGGGTGAAGCATAGAGAAGAGAAAGGGGTCTCGACACGCGAAGCCAAACCCTAACACCCTAACCCGCGAATCATACTCGGGGAAGAAGAACAGTTAGCGAAACCCTAACCCTAACCAAACTCTAATCCCCCAAATCGGACAAATCCAAGAAGAACGAAGCAAGAAAATCAAATCAGAGAAGAAAAGGGGAAGGGGAATAGGCCTACCTCGCCCTCGCACTGCTGCCGCCTTCGTCGTCGCGTGGGCATGAGCTGCCCGTCTTGAAGCCAACTGGCGGCAATGGCAGCTCACCCTTTGGGAGTGCAGCAGGCGCCGACGAGAGGGCCGACGACGGCGCCGTCATCGCCTCACTCCGTGTCATCGCGGGGCTGAGACAGAGAAGGAGGAGAAGCGGCCGGGTCAGATCTAGGGTTTTAGAAGCTCCTCACCGCAGCGCGCGTGGGGCTCAGGGCACCGCCGCCCAGACTGCTCGACGGTGGCGTGCTCACCCGATGGGGAGCGTGCACGCCCGTAAGGGGACCGGCGATGGCGCCATCTTCGCACTTGCTTTCGCTCGATTGCTGCTGCTGCTGCTGCGCTAAGGAGAGAAAGGAGCGAGGCGAAGAGAGAGAAACGACAGAAGAGAATGGCGCTAGGGTTTCGGCACCGCATCCGGCCGGGGGGTTTTGATCAACCAAAATCGTCGCCTGGTCGTCGGATCTAGATGAATGGATGGGAGCGACTGGACCAAAATCGACCCAGGCGGGCGAGCGCGGCTTTGCCGGCCTAGGCTCAGTTATGCCTAGGCGCGGGGAGAAGCCGCTGAGACGCTACTGGCGTGTGAATTTCTTCTTTCGCGCCGCCGCAAATCGCTGTCGATGGGCCAATTATTATTGTCGCGGGCCGGCCGTAATGAACATGAAATAAAGTTTGAAGTTTATTTAATTTTCATAAGCAGATTTCGATGAGTTTTGTCTAGTTTAATATCTCTGTTAAAATTTGAACCAACAGGATAATTTTTCAGAGAATAGTTGAGAAAAGTTCAATGCTTCTGAAAAATAGATAATGATTTTTTTTCATGTTTCCACTGCAATGTTAAAGTTAATAATCTTCTAATTAAATTCGAACGAACGGAAGAATTTAATTTGAAGAGTAGACAATTTTAATCGATAAATTATAATATTGTTATTTTTCTAACCAACATTGATAATAACAATATTATAATATTTAATCATAAGTTTTCCATGCATTAATTCTATTTCTACCCAACGGTGATGTAGAATTAGTGTATAAGAATATTGTATGTTTTAATTTTGACCAACGTTAAATTAAAGCATGTAATTATAATGTCATAATTTTCTCACTATCTCTGACGGTGTTTTTCAGGACTCAACCCAATGGCATTCATCTCGCACATACCATCTCTAGAAGGGGGTAATTACAGAGTATGGCGAGAGAAGTATGAGCTCGCTCTTGCGCTGCCCGAGAATGACTTAGCGCTCACCTCCCCGTGTCCTACTGAGCCAGTGGACCCGGTGAGGGAAGAAAACGAGTCTAATACTGATTTCACTGCTCGACAGCGAGATCATGCAGAAGTGCGCATGAAGTATGATCTTGAGCGCAAGAAATAGGACATATCAAACCGCAAGTGCTTGATGGTGGCTAAGTCCACAATCTCAGATGCTATAAGGGGGTCTATCCCAGACTGTGATACCGCCACTGAGTACCTTAAGAAGGTGGAGAGTCAGTTCACTAGCTCTTCAAAGGCTTATGCTAGTACATTGATCGAGAAATTGTTCAATAAAAAATATACTGGTGGTGGTATCAAAGAACACATATTGAAGATGAGCAACACGACTTTGAAGCTAAATCCAATGGATTTGGGGCTCAAGGATGAGTTCCTGATTCATTTGGTTTTTGCTTCCTTGCCAAAGAAATATGAAACCTTTGTTGTTAACTACAACATGCAGCCTGACAAGTGGGACATAGAAAAGCTCATCGCAATGTGTGTTCAAGAAGAGGAAAGGCTGAAGTCCTTATAGGGTGACTCTGCTAACCTTGTCAAGGACAAGAAAAAGAACTTCAATAAGAATGTCAAACCTCAAGGGAAAGCCCCTCAGACTGAGCACCATCAGAAGAATAACAATGCTCAAGTTGAAAATGATCAGTGCAAATGGTGCGAGAAGCATGAACACTACCAAAGGGACTGTCTAGACTTCCTGAAGAACCTGTTGAAGAGAGGTGATGATTTTATTACATTCATAGATGAATCCCTGTATTTAAGTTATGCAAAATCTACTTGGTGGATTGATTCAGGTGCAACTGTTCATGTTGCCAATTCATTACAGGGATTCCATACGAGGAGGACCCTGCAAAGAGGAGAAAGAAGAACTAAAGTAGCAAATGGAGTTGAAGCTGAAGTTGAAGCCATTGGAGATCTCTCTCTAGAATTAGTTGATGGTTTTGTACTTAAGCTTTTAGATGTTCTATATGTACCCTCTTTACGAAGAAACTTAATAAGTGTTTCACGTTTAGATGATGATGGATATGATTGCCATTTTGATAATGGCAAATGTAGGATTGCGATTAATAATAAGTGTGTTGGTGTTGCCTTCCGACAAGACAAGTTTTATTTATTATCACTTTATAAGAATGTGAATGATGTAAGTACTGAGATTGAGAATGCCTCTTCGTTTATGAATACAAGTAATAAGCAGAAGAGAGTTCATGATGTATCATCGAAATTATGGTACTGTCGTTTAGGCCATATTTTGAGGGGGAGAATAAAGCAATTGATTAAGAAATCAATTCTTTCGCCTTTAGGATTTTTAGATTTAGAGCAATGCATTGATTGCATAAAAGGAAAGTACGTTAAGAAAATAAAGAAAGATGCCAAACGAAACGCATGAATTTTAGAAATAGTTCACACAGACATCTGTGGTCCTTTTCCTGTAAAAAGTGTGGATGGTTATGATTCATTTATAACATTTACAGATGATTATTCTCATTTTGGCTATATTTATTCAATTAAGGAAAGATCGGAAGCGTTGGATAAATTTAAGATATTTAAGGCTAAAATAGAAAATCAGCACACTTTAAAGATTAAGGTAGTAAGGTCCGACCGTGGGGGAGAGTACTATGGTCGACGCACCCCATATGGTCAAGTTTCTAGACCCTTTGCAAGGTTCTTACAAGAAAATAGCATAGTAGCCCAGTATTCTACCGGGCGAGCCTCAGCAGAATGGAGTAGCTGAAAGACGCAACCGTACCTTAATGGATATGGTGAGAAGCATGATAAGTTACTCTATCCTACCGATAAATTTATGGATGGAGGCGCTAAAAACCGCCATTCATATACTTAATCGAGTGCCAAGCAAGTCAGTGCCCAAAACACCATATGAGTTGTGGACAAGAAAGGAACCCTCACTTAACTATTTACATGTGTGGGGTTGTCCAGCTAAGGAAAAAGTTTTTAACCCAAATATAGGGAAGCTAGATTCCAAGACAGTCAGTTGCTATTTCATTAGCTATCTAGAAAAGTCAAAAGGTTATCGCTTCTATTGTCTTGACAAACAAACGAAGTTTATAGAAATAAGACATGCTATTTTCTTGGAGGATGATATGATCAGGGGGAGCATGGTAGCGAGAGAAATTAGTTTTGAAGAGAAGCGGGTATACGTGCCCACTCCTATGATTCAGGAGCCATTCTTCATGCTACCTGTTGTTGCTGTACCAATAGTGCAAGACACTGTAGTAACAGCACCTGTTGTTAGTTCTCCTGTGGCTACAATAAATGAACATGAGAAACCTGTCCTTCAGGATCCCAAGAACCTATTGTCACACATGAGGGAGAGCAACAACAGCCTCTTATAGAACAAGCATCATCTAACGAGGCCCCTAGAAGGTCTCAAAGTGTCAGGAGATCAACCATTCCTGATGACTACGAAGTTTATGAATGTGAGGAATTCCAAATGGAGGGTGATCCCACCTCATTTGAAGAAGTCATGAGAAGCGCTCACTCATCCAAGTGGCTTGAAGCCACGGAAGATGAAATGAAATCAATGAAAACCAACGGTGTTTGGAACTTAGAAACAATTCCTAAAGGAGCCAAGACAGTAGGCTGTAAATGGGTCTACAAAACTAAACATGACTCCAAAGGGAATATAGAAAGGTTTAAAGCACGACTTGTGGCGAAAGGTTTCACGCAAAGAGAAGGCATAGATTACAATGAGATATTTTCTCCAGTCTTATGTAAGGATTCTTTTAGAATCATAATGGTGCTTGTAGCACATTACGACTTAGAATTACATCAGATGGATGTAAAGACGGCATTCCTAAACGAGGATCTGGAGAAAAATGTTTACATGGCACAACCGAAAGATTTTGTTGTGGAAGGAAAAGGACGTATGGGATGCCGCCTGAAGAAATCCATTTATGGATTAAAACAAGCTTCAAGATAGTGGTATTTGAAGTTTGATAGTACAATAAGAAAGTTTGGGTTTTAAGAAGATATAGAGGACAATTGCGTTTATGCAAAGTTCAAGAATGGGAAATACATTTTCCTAGTCTTGTATGTGGATGACATCTTGCTCGCTAGCAGTGATGTCAATCTACTACTGAAACAAAGTTTTTGTCCTCAAAGTTTGATATGAAGGATCTCGGTGAAGCTTCGTTCATCCTAGGAATAGAGATTCACCGAGATAGAGAAAAGAGGGTTTTAGAATTATCACAAAAGGCATACTTAGAAAAAGTTCTAAAGAAATATAGTATGTAAAATTGTAACTCATCACCTGCTCCCATAGTCAAGGGCAACAAATATGGAGAATTTCAATGTCCTAGGAACCAATATGGGATCGATCAAATAAAAGCGGTTCCATATAGTTTAGCTGTCGGAAGTTTATAGTATGCTCAAGTGTGTACTCGCCCTGACTTAGCGTTTGTTACCGGGTTACTTGGCAGATATCAGAGTAATCCAGGAATAGAACACTAGAAATTAGTAAAGAAAGTTTTGCGTTACCTGCAAGGTACGAAGGGTCTCATGCTAACATATAGAAGATCTGATTTCCTACACGTAGAGGGGTATACAGATTCTGATTATGCGGGAGGTGAAAGAAAGTCCACATCAGGATACATATTCAGTCTCGCAGGAGGAGCTATATCGTGGAAAAGCTCAAAGCAAACTGACACTACATCGTCCACAATGTATGCCGAGTTTGTAGCATGTTATGAGGCCACAGGGCAGGTGAATTGGCTAAAAAAATTCATACCCGAATTGAAAGTGGTAGACGACATACATAAACCACTCAAGTTATACTGCGATAATAATCCATCAGTATGTTATGCTCACAGCAATAAGTCAAGTGGTGCTGCCAAACACATTGACATAAAGTATTATGTTGTGAAAGATAAAGTCCAGGATCATATAATTAGTCTTGAGCATATAAGAACAGAAAAGATGCTCGCGGATCCGCTTACAAAAGGCTTACCACCCAGGGTGTTCAAAGAACATTTAGCCGGCATGGGTTTAAAGGAAAGCCTATGATTCCTGGACAATAAAGGCCTAGTTAAGAATCTGTTTCAAAACAGAGATGTGTATTGTAGCTGTTTAATCTAATGGCAAGAGGCCGTGACGATGAGGCACGCTCTATGCACTGATCTGTGATGGAATGGGAACAAGAGAAAGTAAGTAAGTTAAGTTTAAGTTATAAGTGAGATTAAGGGGGAGAATGTTAGTTGATCTCCACCAATTGGCCCAACGGCTAATTTGGCCCTTGGATCCGCGCCCTGATCGGGGGCGCCCAACCCTAATATGGTTGGTGGGCCCCCGTCGCACAGCGCCATAAATAGAAGGTGGGGGCCGAGGGCGCCAAGCACGAGGTTCGTCTGAGCCACCTAGCACCCCACCTACAGTCCTAAACCCTAACCGTTCACAGAGGGGGCGCTGCCAGCGACAGGAAGCGCCGCCACCGCCTCTGCATCTACACCAAAGGGCTGCTATGATGTCGGGCTGCCCGGTGACCTCTACACTGACCCCTAGATGACGTCGCTACTGCATCACCGCCCTTCTACTCAGCACCGCCACCGGGTTATTGCCAAGCACTGCGATGGTGAGCCCATCTTCATCCAAGGCGGCCAATGGTTTGCACCCCTTCACCCCTCTCTTTCATTCTATCTCTAATCCAATACTAGTAGATGGTTCTAGGACTCACGGTTTGTTCAAAGTGCAAGTAGACATGCTATATTTATGCCTAGAGATCCTGCTTTAACTCTATCATCCTCTTCCACGGCCGCCTCCAAGAGGGGCTTGCCGCTCGATAGCGGCAGAAGGAGCTCTTCGTGCCACTGATTGATGCGTGTTGAGTGCGCAAGTATCAGCAGCAGGTCAAGAACCAAGGTGGTGCCACGGTGGCGCCAGAAGAGGAGGCGACCATGTTCGAGCACTCATATGTGGACACGCTGCTCGACATCAGGCTCCTCGAAGAGGGCGACCATGAGTTCACTGACAACGAGATGTCCAACCTCTACTCTGAGTTCCTCACTGCCGGCACCGACACGACGTCCACCGCGCTACAGTGGATCATGGCCGAGCTGGTCAAGAACCCGGACGCATAGGAGAAGCTCTCTACAACGAGATCAAGGCGACGTCTGCGGCGACGAGCAAGGGAGGTCACCGAGGAGGACACGCACAAGATGTCAGACCTCAAGGCCATCGTCCTCGATGGATCAAGCGTCGGCACCCACCTACACATTTCGTCTTTGTCGCACAAGGCGGCGGAGGACATGGAGGTCGGCGGGTACCGATCCCCAAGGGCACGACGGTGAACTTCACGGTGGCGAGATGATGGGATGGGATGAGCGGGAGTGGGACAAGCCCATGGAGTTCATCTTTGGAGCGCCTCCTAGCAAAGGTGACGGTGGGGCGTGGACGTGATCGCAGCAGGAGATCAAGATGATGCCCTTGATGGCCGGGCGCCGAATTTGCGCCGGTTCGAATTGCCATGCTTCACTTGGAGTACTTCGTGGCCAACTTGGTCGTGGAATTTGAATGGAAAGAGGTGCAAGGTGACTAGGTGGATTTGGCTGAGACGCCTTGAGTTCACCACCATCATGAAGAAATTGGCCTCACTGCTGATGAGGTGCATGAGCCACTTTTTTGAATGGCGATTGATGGCCCATCACATTGAGGCATTTTCGTTTCATCCCTAGATCAGGGGATTGGATCCAGGAGGATTTTGCTTGCAGGGGATTTAATCCCTCCCAATCTTAGACCCTGTATGGATCCCCTCTTCTAAACTATAGATTACTTTTTTCTTTATAATGTAAAAGGTTTGTGCGTCTTTGTATTAAGATATAAATTGTTTGTTTACAATACGCTAATATGGCATCTTGGTGGGTTGCTTGTGTTAACGAATGGATCCACTCGGAGAGAAAGATAAACTTTAGAGTACTTCAGCTCAGTTTTGAGCTCTAAAGATCTAATGTGAGATGGACTGAAATTTGGAGCTAACTTTAAACCACCTATTTTAGAGACTCTAGCTTTAAAGTTTAGAGGAGTGGTTCCAAACAGGCCCTTAGTTTTGAGACAAAATAAACAGGGCTAAAGGCTAAGAACCATCAACCATCCTGCTTGCTTTGGCTGTCATCCTAGTCCTACCTCTTGCCCAAATTCCAATATCACGAGCGTTCACCACATTCCTGCTCAGTGAACGAATGAGTGACACCGTGCGTGCGGATCGACCAGACTTAAATTAGTGGCGTGCATTTCTTTTTCTTTTTCCTTATTTTTCTTCTACCACTCGAGTTGAGCCATTCGATGCCTATGGGTCCGGTTTGTTCCACGACATGTGAAACCGGACGGATGTTTCTTTTTTTTTTTTCCATTTTTCTCTCGTAATCCAAGTATTTTATTTATTTTTCCTTTTTATTTGTTTTTAGCATTGTTGGCAAGTTGTATAGAATAAGTTATGTACGTAAGTTGTATAAAATAACTTAGATACACAAGTTGTGTTTGATAACTTTTGTAAATAAGTTGTGTTTCATATTTTTTGTGTTTCCAAGTTTTAGTATAAGTTATAACTTAATCATGTTCCTTTGTGTTTTGTTTTATGTGTGTTTTAGTATTATTTTTATTTTTTTGTACCTTTTACCCTTCTTTTATATATTTTTTCTTTCTAATAACTTTTAGCGGCGTTGATAAGTTGTATAGAATAACTTATGTGCATAAGCAGTATAGAATAACTTTATGTACATAAGTTGTGTCGGTGTTTTATAAACCGGACTAGTAAATTTATACGATTGCCGCGCTGCTCTAGGAAGACGATGGTAGCATCCAAAAGACACGAGGATTTGTACTGGTTTAGGCCGGAGCCCTACCTCCAGTCTCAGAGATGATCGAGTGCGTGTTCCTCACTTGAATACTTTGAAGTTCTTACAATGAGGGGTGAAAGGATGGTGGAAGAGGAAGAAGAGCTAGAGCTAAGAGATGGGTTGCCCGGGGGAGGCTTCAGAGCCCTGCTACGAAGGAGATTGAGTGAAATGGTAGAGGATCCAAATGTCTAGAGAGGGTGCTCTAGTTGCTGTTATATAGAGTTCGGGGCCAGGGCATGTACGGAGAAGGAGGTTCTCCCGACCGAAGGGTCTGAGCCCGGGGGAGGTCCTAGCTAACTTGGTTTGCAAGCTACGCCGTCTTGTGGTGCACGTCCGGGTGTGGTTATCGTCACAGTCCTGTGGCCACGTCACGGCATGGTGTGGTGTGGTGCTACTGTGCTGGCCGTGGTGGCACTATAGGCACGGTGGAGGTTCGCTAGCCGTCCTGTATGACGTGATCTCTGCCATGGTCTTTGTAATTGTCTCCTAGCTTCCTAGGGGTCGTACAGGAGTTGGTAGCCGCCCCCAGGTCATCGATCGCCTTATTGGCAAGAGGAGCTGAGGGCCACGATCCCGATTTTTGGGGTCATGGCTTCCACCGGTCTAGATAGCCTCTAAGTCAAGGCGTTCGTCGTGGATCCCATCCCATAGTGGGTGGAATCGTACATGCGTCTTGTCGTGCCGTATTTGGCCGGTGGTTATCGTATCAGTCGTCACCGCCTTGGGCGGTGTTGTCTTGTCTTTGTAGCATGGCACAGGGATGGCGTCTGACCGGACCGAGGTGACTGTTGTCCCCTCGGTCCTTGCGGGGTCAGTGCAATGTGTTTGTTCTTGTCAGGGCAGGCTAGCTTGGCCGGGCCCGACCTCTCCCCGTTCCTCTCAAGGGTCGTGACGGGGAAGAGGTTGTGTGCCTCTCGAGTGCTGTGCGGCTAAGGCAGAAGGAAGGGGTCATGGCTGGCCTCGGCCTTAGCGTTTGGCCTGGTTCACTTGTCTTAGCTGGGCTCGGTCGTTTGGACCTTTGCTAGCTGGTGTTTTGTAGGCCGCGTGGCCTGCTAACTAATTGGTGCCTTGAGACACCACGGGGTTATGACCCCGACAAGTTGTGTTTAATAACTTTTGTACATAAGTTGTGTTTTATAACTTTTGTGTTTCCAAGTTTTGGTATAAGTTATAAGTTAATTCGTTACTTTGTGTTTAATAACTTTTGTGTTTCCAAGTTTTGACATAAGTTATAACTTATTTCGTTTCTTTGTGTTTAATAACTTTTGTACATAAGTTGTGTATAATAACTTTTATACATAAGTTTTGGCATATAAGTTATATGTTGTAAGTTAATACACATAAATTGGTACTAGAAAAAGTTTCTTCAAAACATAAGCAAGTGGGGTCTAGTTTTGTTCACCTTGTCGCGTAAAACATAGCGGTGCAGACAGAATTAAAAATAGATACACCATTCAAAAGCTATAACATTTTGAAAATAAATATTTCACTTTTATTGTACCCTGCATCACATTGATGTCATCGTCGTCAGAGAAAGGGAGCGGAGGACTGTGAGGGAGGTGCTATTGACACTTCTTAGCATAACTATTAGGTTTGTATCCCCAGCAACTGCGACAGAAGTACTTGTTGGTATTTCTTAGCGTCATCACTAATAATTAGCAATGCCACTAAGTAATAGCCTTGATAGTTCCTTAATAATTTTTGATATTTATTCGCAAGCGCATGGAGCTATCATTGTAGCATTTCACCCAGAAGTATTCAAGGTATCGTTATTTATATTTTTCTAAAGGAATACATTTGATTAAGAGTCTAGTATGGATATGAACTTGAATAATAATGCTTGCAAGTACACCAATGTTTATAGCAAGGGTAAAAACGGTGATTTCAAGATAGTGGACACACATTTGGCATTCCTCAAAGGATAAAATAGACAAGAAAGAATAAAAGAATATCCTAAAATGAGCAGGCATTGGTCTAGTATAGTCATACAAAGATTAATTAATGATCATACAAATTACATTATTAGTTTTAGGGCTAAGTATGAAGCAGGTCGTGAGGCGACCGAGTACTGGTCTGCCAGCAACCTCATGTGACAATTTAGACTCCTACACATAGTCGAACATGAAAGATTACAAGGGACAGACATGGTTATCACCACCTGCCGCCTACCCCTCAACCATGGAAAGGGACAATGCATTCACTTGTCTCTCCATACCCAAGCACCACGCTTGCGTATACAGAAACTACCCAAATTCCCCCGGGTCCCTGACCCTACGGATCGACAGGTAAAGAACTTGGGCACACCTAACGGCACGGTGAACCATCACCTCAACTTTTCTCTAATCCCAATTATATAAGTTATATGAGTGTTTAAGCGTGAAGTTAAGTGTGCTACTCTCATGACACATAAACTATAGACTAGTTCATATATCAAGATTATAACACAATAACTATACTCTAGTTCATAAGTATTACTATAAATCTAAGATGAGAGCATGACTTTGGAAGAACTCATATTTCTATTCATATCTAAAGGTCTCTTCTTCCAAGGAGCCAAGCTCTCCAAGGTAGCTTTGCCTTGCTCTAATACAACTAAAAGGTAAAAGAGAACTAGAGAGAGAGAGGTATTGCTCAAGTAAAATGTGTTGAGAGAGGGGGGGGGGGTGCCCCTCTATTTATACAAGGCTCAAGGCGGTGCTACGAGCTATATTTGGTGCGAAGCAGGAGCTGCACCGCCTCAGCATGGGAGCATGCTACCGCCTGAGCAAGGAGAGGCAGAGGAGTGCCGGCAGGGGGTCGGGCACCCCTAGGGGTCAGCCACCCCTTGATCGTGCCACCTCGCCACTGCCTTCGCGTGGCAGGCTCTGGGTTAGGCTTGGATCAGCCCCGGTGGTGCTTTGCCCCAGTTGAATTGATTTGATGGGTGTCTCCCTTGTTCCTTTGCGCAAATTAGCGTCGGAAAGCGTCTTTCGGTGAATTATTCCATGTATTTGTGTTTGTGACCTGCAAAATAATGTTCTCCAAATAAATGTGGAACTTGGTTAATAGTAAATGCATATGTATTTTAACTTTACCAATTTCTCCTATTTTACCGCCAACGGGCGCACGCTCACCACCCATAAAAAGAAAGCGGGAATACTTATTTTCCTCAAATGGAAAGTCACAGTGATGTCAGAATTTTGATCGCTCGTCTGGAACCAGTGAGCGTTCGCGGAATAGGCTGGCCGGCCTCTAGCTCCTCTACC